AACTTGCCAGAAAATACAAAACAAAAAAAATAAGCACAATAGAAATTGGGTGATCCGTTCTTATTGTGAATGGGACTCCAGCTGAGCCCTCCACAAGCCTTCAAAGGTGACTGTTCCACAGCTCTTTGGTGATCTGAACACTCCTTTGTTCTGATCCTGTGTGTTTTAGCTGAAGTTATGGGACAAAAACAAAGTTTGGTGTCAATTGGTTATTTATAATGAAGGAGCTGCTTAAGAAAGGTTGGTATGAGACTTTTATATTGCTTTTTTTAAAGGGAGAAGTTATCAGTATTAGTTTCTTTACCTGATCAGATAAATTAATTATGAATTTTTTAAAAATGGGGCAGCAAACAGAGCAGTAGACGGGTAATGGTTTTTTCAGAAGGACCCCTATGATAAACTTACTTAAGCCATTTAAGAAAACAAAGTATTTTAACATAATAGGATATATTAAAAAATAGAATATGTTGCAGTCTTAAATTAATGATCGTCCTGATTAGCTGAAACTTGTCAGGCCACTTTAAATTCACTAAAGAGGTAAACATTTGGAAGTTTAAAACAATCTGTCATTTCGGGGCTAAGGTAGAACATTCTGCTCATTCCGGTGCTTTTCCAGGTCATAATGTGCACCATCCAAGGGTTCAGCCTGACTGGCCAGTCTGGTTAAAACAGACCAGACCAGACCAATCACAGGCAGGGGTTTACACCAGAATTAACTATAATGCAACTGTACTTTTTTGTTAACATAGCAGCTAAGACTGCTTTAAAATGATTTGCATTTTAAAAGTAGTTTTTAATCTTTTTTATTACTTTTTTCTAATTACATAAATTGATCCAACCTGAGTTCTGTTTTTCTACACTCTATTTTGAATATACAGTAAGATTAATTATTTATCCTTTATTTTTATGCCCTTTGACTGTCATCTAGGCTTCTTCCCTCATGGTTCTGTCCAGTGAATTTCAGTACAACCGTTGGTTACACTGAATGTTGTCAAAATTACACATTAATCAGTTCAACGCACTGAATTTTAATCAGTGTGATGCTTGTGGAAACTTATTTTAAAACACATTTACATTATAATTAAAAAATGCATGTAAGAATAGAGGTATGAAAACTCAAACCTAGTGCCCTTCAGGCTAACTCAGACTAACCCTGAGCTAACATGTTTCCATCCTATTAGCAGACAGACTTAATTTTTTGAAGGCAGAGAGAATGTCTAGGTCAAATAGGATTCCCAAATAACTGGTCTGTCAAGCTGAACCGGGTGATCGTTGGTGTTTTGTTGTTTTCTACAACTGCGTTGCAGTTTGCATATTAAGAGGAGATATGAACATTGCCTCCAACATGGAGGAAATATTAAAAAATCCTGTTAAGAACCCTGTTTAAATTGGGCTTAATATAAAAACCAAGAAAGTGGTCAAACTCAGATGATTATAGAGCCATTAAAATGCATTTAGTAAATGGTCAAAACGTTTTACTCTTTTACTCTTCTAAAGAAAAACAAAACATTTGGTATCATCTTATTATTCAGAGTTGGGCCCAGCTCAATTCCTGCCATAACTAAGTATGAGAACTAAAACTGATAACTTCCGGAAACTTCCTTTCCGAAAATCTGGATTAACTCTTTAATCTTTGAATGAGCCCGTGTTTTTTATCTGCTTGTTAAAGGATGAATATTTTTCTGGTATTTTTGTGCCTATTGAGAAAAGGCAGCTTGATAATTGTTGTTTTTTCTTTTTTTTTTTTTTTCTTTTACTAAGCTGACTTTGATAGCCTGAAAACAACACTAGCTGCGTTTTCATTCATTATTGATTAAAGGTTTTTGGCGTTGGGGTGAGGTGGCTTTACGGTCATATTGAAATTGGTGCATTTCACCAAACTATAATGGAAATACTGGTTTTGGTATCACACGAGTTATAGAATTATCAATCAGAGGTTACTACTTGGCAAAAAGACAAAGATCATTGCAGGGCATGTGTTTAATGATTGATCACATGAACAAGCGTATTTTCATGTGATTTAATTGCAGAAACCACATTGGTGAATCTGGTTTTTTTTTCCACACTAGTAGAATATTGACAATGTTTTGCACACATTTATAATGGAAACGCAGCTATTGATGCTGAACTTTAGTAAGGTTTAAATAAAATCACAAGACTGCCTGTCCTCCCTGGTAACGAGAGGACTGCTTAGGTGAAATGTGATTAACTTATCTGAAAATCCATATCTGCCTTGTGAAATGTGGGCCCTAGTGAAGTATATGTAGCTGAAACCATGCTGAGTATATTCAGTTTGTGAGCATGCAAAGACTGACAGCAAAATAATAATAAAAAGAACATGCTGTAAGTTGAGGAACAGTCATGATTGAAGTCAGCAGTTCAATGTTATGATGATGGAATTAGATTATAAAAGGAAACAAGGGCTCATTTGTTTTTCAACTTGTTACAAGCTGCTAAAAGTAAAAAAAAAAAAATTCTCTGTTGTGATGAGAAGCAAAGAAAAAGGTAATCTGTGCCAAACTGACTTCAGGATTTGGTGGGTTTTCACAGAAAGTGAAACCCACATGCATTTGCACAAAACTACTGTAACTCTGTTTTTCTTCCTGTGACTGATGCTTTTCTAAATTGATGTATTTATTGCACCTTATAACTAATAAAAGATATTTATATCGAAAACCCACTTTTTTCTCGCAACATGAGTTGGATTGAACTTAAAGCCTGCAACTTGCTGCCTGTTTTGCCTGTTGCTCTCCAAGAGCAGCAGCACTCCAGGCAAGTTCATCGTGCAGACGGTTTGTCACCTTGATGAGAAAGTCCTCTCTGCTTTGAAAGCTTGTATCTCCACCATCTGTCTCAGACAGGGATTGGGACAGTTGGGTTAAACAGATCAGCGATGTACGTAAGAGCTTAAATGTGTTTGTGTGTGTTTTTTTTTCATATAGTCATTTATTTAGAAGGGAAAACAGCAGCCAGAATACTACTGAGACAAATGGAGGATCATGCCCAGCATGTCCTTCAATTTCCTAATGCTTAGTGAGCTTTTGCATGTGTGTCTGAAAGGGAAAGGAAGAAGGTTCTTATGTGTGTCCTTGCATTGTTGCCAGGCAGATACAGTCCTCCACATGTCTGACCTATGACAATACCTTTTCCTTGCCCCTCTCCTGCCACCACCGTGCCGCCAGTTACTCCCCAGCGACTAAGCGCGAGACTACCCACCCTTTACATTTTTAGCCTACTTAAAACACTCTCCATATCTGCACCATTCCCCTTTTTTCTTCTGCCCACCCCTCTATTGTTGTATTTTTACCAAGCCACTGAGCTGAGGCTATTTGTGGTCTATTATATGACAGCAGCATGTAAACACTCATCACTTCCCCCAGCTTCTGCAAAAGCTTGCTGAGTGAGCCCAGGGCATTACAACAATGGATCAGTGTACTCCATTTATTCACCTTCACACAGTTGAAGTGAATAAAAGAGATGGAGAAGCCGTTTATATATTTTTTTTATATATATATATATTTTTTTTTTTTTCAATCTACATGTATTGGTGTAATGTTTTGTTTCTACTGATCTGAGAGGACGTACTTGTTAGTGTAAACCATTTGTCCCTTAAATCTAATTTTTTTTGGTTCCACAACTTTTAGTCCTTGATGAGTGATGTTTATGTTGTTGTAGTACATCTAATGTTTTAGCATACCGCTATGGGAGAGACCATTCCAGCTCTTCTTCCCTTTTACAATCTAAGTGGATTTTCAGATCAATATCTCGTTCATGCATTCTTGTCATCATGCCTAAATAAACCCCCCTTTTACAACTCCAAGTCTTTGAACATTTGGTTGCCAAAGAGGGATGCTTATATTTCTCTATTGATCTTCCTCCCATAGGTGATGTGGCTCACTGCCCAGGGCAATGTGGTATTGGGGATGGTGTGAATAATCACCTCATAAACATTTTTTTTTCTATTGCTCATTGTGGGTTTAGTCAGTTGGGATCTTATCGAAAGCTATCAATTAAAAGGCAAATTGATGTTTCTAATTAACCAGGGCTGCATCTCATACACTGTAAGTTTATTGATCAAACCTGAGCTCAATTGTTCTAAAGTAAAAAGTGCATTCAATTTTAGTGTGAGGTTCATGAAACATTTAATTCTGTTTATGGAAGCATATAGAGTAAGCAAGCTGGTTTGGGGTGGGGTGATGCAAAAGAAGGACTCAGACCACAAAATAAAGCTTCATAAAACAGTTATATTCAATTTTCCAAATGCATTTTATTTTTTGCACCTTCTGACAGCAATTTAGCATCACATGTTGTACTGACTACACACAAAATCATTCTTCATTAACATAACTAGATCTCTTAGCACCATTTATCAAGCTTTGAAGTCTTTTTGCATGTTTTGTAAAAAGGTTACACTCATGTTGTAATAAACTGACTCACATTTTTCAATATTACTTTTAAGAGAATTGTATTGACTCTACAATAACTTACAAAAATTCCATATCAACAGTATATTACCCAGCAAGCTGGAGTACTATTTCTATAATACAGATAGGGCTAGTGAGACCCTTTAAACAGATGAGATCAGGTTGAGGTATTTAGTGAACTCTTCAAGAAGCATGACGCGGGAAGCAGCTCATACAGAAAATTGGAAGTCATGATCATCGTTGAGGCCCAGCATGAACCAATGAACACAGACAAGACAAGCTGTGATAGAAAGGTTATCTCTTTTTCTAGCTTGGGAAATTAGTCTCAGTCCTGCTCAGGGCCCATATTTATAATATGTTGCATAGAATCGGTACTAAGTGTACGCATCAAAAAAATGGTATACTCCACAAATATCTCAGATTTTTTTAAATAATTGCATACTTTCCCAGCACTATAGCTCTTATGAAACAAGCCTATTAAAAACTTTAAGTTTAGAAGTTACAGTTTCTTAGGGCTTCAATGTTACATTTTTTTTAAGGTCTTTTTATTTGTAAAAATAAGCTAAACCTTAAAAATAAGTTAAACCTTAAAGTCTACAGCTGACAATATTACTGGGTGCCTCGAACTGCAAATTAATTCTATTAAGTCCTTATAATATCCTCCTTCTGAAGCTGTTTTACATCAAATATCATCAGAACAGACATCTCACTAGAGTCCTCCAAGGAGGCGGCTAGTTTAAGTTGCTGAAGACCTTCCCCACTGAAAACCTTCCCCTCCCACACCCTGCTTTTGTTCAGTTTCAGATCTGTTCGGTCCTCTCCCACCACACTCACCCGTAGGGCTCCAGGGACTCGTACTCTGAATAGGGTCCATGAGAGTGGCTCAAGCGTTCCCATACGAGGTTCAAACAGCACACAGCCTTTCCCCCAGGCCGAATAGACACAAGGGAATGGAGGCATTACCTGATTGGAGAGGTTCCTCACTATAAAATCACACATTGGGCTGAAATCTTCACTGGATGTTATCCGTGCATACAGTCCTAGTCGATACACACCTGCCTCTGGTAGACTGAGACTCAAAGTCACCTTGTGGTCTGTGTAGGTGCAGAATACATAACGTGAAACTGGAAAAGTTGAGCATATGTTCTTTTTGCTGAGTACGTAATGAAGTTCGAGGTCCTGCTGGTTGTGGAAGGTGATGTTGCATTTGCCCTGCTGTGTACTCACCATGGCAGAATTGTGGCTGAACCTAGATAACCCTGCCTTAGCCGTTCGGGTTCCTGGCCCACATGCTGAGCCAAGATTTGGAGGAAACAAATCTTCTAATCCAACAACCTTTCCTTTGCAGTGTAACAGGTAATTCGCAGCATTCTGGAACTTGACCTCTGTATTCTCATAGTCCCGCACAAACAATGAAAGTCTGTAGAAACCATGAAACGGGCACAAGACATGACAGGTGAGGCTCTCTGGTTGAATCTGAGTTGCCAAGCAGCACTTGGCTACAGCAGCTTCCATTTGCGGGTGGACAAGTTCACATAACACCATTAGAGGCCTACAAGTCTTCAACACCAGGTCAAAAACTCCATCTTCCACTTCAACAACCTCACTGCTCTGGGAGCTGCCAATGACACCCAAGGATCCTGCAGCAGGCTGTAGACCCCAAGACAGAAAGGGGTTCTCTGGAATGTCCTCAGTGGCTCTTGGGTTTGGACACTTCACAGTGAAGGAGCAAACCCAAACCAGAGGTGTTGTAGCGTTTTCTGACCTTGCAAACAATTTGACATCATAGGTGTCACTTTCAGGTGGCAGTAGCTGCAACTTCATCCTCCGACTAGAGACTGTTAGAAGGCCAAAGGAGGAATTGCTTGACTCTTTCTGCTCCACAGACCCACAGTGAAGAAGATCTTGATGCTGCGTTATCTCATAGGTGAAAGTTGTTGGCCTGGAGAATCCAAGGGATACAGTTGCCTCCCCATCATCTGAGTAGGAAGTTAAAAGAACATTTTGTTTTAGAAGATAAGAAACATATCAACACCATGAATGATGAGAAAGGCTGAACCTTTATCCTCTTGAATAACTTACATTAGAGTATATTTACCCACAAAACACTAAGCAGATTATGTGTATAAACTGATTTAGAATATACAGCCGTCTTTTGAAATAAAAAAAAATCTTGACCTGTGACTATATAATAGTGAAGAGGACTTATCAGCCTGAGCCCCATCTTGAAGAAAGCAGATGTCTTGAAGACCCTTCGTTCAAATTCCTCGATGGTGATGGGTTTGTCCAGGAGCTGCCATTTCTCCTCGTCTGGAAAGTGTGAATCGATGAATTCCTCCGGGTCAGTTAGGAAATAGAAGTCATCAAAACTTGATTAAAAAAAAAGACAAATTTTAGCTTGAGCCTGAACGCTGCTGTTAATGTGTTTAATTGATATAAACTAAGTATAGACTGGCGAACGTAGGTAATTACTCTAGGGCATTTTAAAACTATTAAAATAAACAATGACATTTAGATTTTTATACATTTTCTTTCAGCACCTTTTGACAAAGCTTTCGTGCTGCATATCCACTTGTCCAGCTCCCCAACAGGCATCCAGAAGGAACCACCCCCCCTCCAGAAGCACAGCGTTCCACAAGTGATCCGACTTCACATGCTTTAGGCTATGACCTTGACGGTAGCCAATCCCCTTACTGTGGCCTGTAACTTCCTGGCACTCTATGCCCACTTCTCTGGAAACACAGACCAAGTAGACATGTTTTCAAATGTTTCATTTGTTTATCATGACACAATATCCATGTGGTTTACAGAGTATTAATGTAGTAACATAGTTTAGTGACATTTTATTTCCTGTTTTGATGAAATAATGGCTAGCATCAGGTGTTGGAGATCCAATAGCAATCAGGATATGCAACAATTTCTAACCTCTTTCCAAGGAATACAAAATTAGTTGTATAATGGATTTTGTTTAAAAGATGTTTATTATTGATGTAAGTAAACTACAATACAAAAACTATGATGTTTAGATTTTATTAATTTAATGTAAATATTGTCACCTAGACATTGCCATGTTGCTTACGCTGAATTGCATTGTGGGTAAATTAGGGATACAGTACTTGATCCTGTAGCACTAGCTCCGTCCTGTCAAAATAGCAAAGAGTATTAGTAAAACTTTTTAGTTTGAACTAGAGTGCATTCAACTTCATGAGAATAAAGAAATTACAAGGGGTAATGAAGATTAGGAGGCCCAAACTGAGGAAGAAGGGAGGGTTGACTGAAGAAGCTTGTGTTTATGCAGCTGCTAACAAAGATGGAGGTATGCTACAAAGAGCTCCAGTTTTTAGCTGAGGCTGTTTACGGTTAGTGTTTGGATTAAAATATTATCTCAGATATGTTAGAATGATATGTGATGACTGACTTCATTGTTTAACAGTGAACAGCCTTTTATGCAGTCTTGATATAATTTTCATTTCATGTAAGCGTTTGCTAACAGTGTTAGCTCAGTTATCTCATGTATAATCGATCATGAAAATGTTGGGGCAGGGATTCAGTTTGGAATTGTCTAAATTTACACCATTAAAATGCAATCCGATTTTTAAAAATGATTAAAAACTAAGGTAAGCCTGGTTTATTCTGAAGGTTGTGGTTCATTAAGAACTCACCATGTCATCAACCCAGCATGCATTGAACAGGTGAAAAAAAATTTTAACCTCCATGTGTAAAAAAAAAATAAATAACAAAAGATGCATAATTTTTTAGGTAATTGAGTTCTTATGTATCCTAAAAGGCAATTTTCATGTTATTGGGGCAATTACAACATATTTAGGCCAACGACATCTTCCTAGCTACAATTTTTTCATTAAAGAGAATCATTTTTCCAAGCAAATAAATCCATAGAGTGTCTAGAGAATAAAAGTTTAATTTCTCTTGAAAAATATTGCATATAAATAATTTTCTATACATTGAGTAGGGTCTAAAATTTATAAATATTTACTTCTGATTGCGATTCCAACATCAACACAACAAAACTCAGATTCTGGGAGCTCTATAATAGAGTTGAGAAATTACTTTTTTCTTGGCATTACTTTTCTCAAATTTTAAGCAAAAAAAAAAAAAGAAAAGCAAAACCAGGGTAAACATCAATTGGTTACTGATACAGAGGCAAAGTGGCTCAGAAGTTAAGGTAAGTTGAGTGTTTGCAAATGCTAACCAAAGCTTAGCTTTAGCAAACCTGGCAACCAGCTTGCAAACAGTACAGAACATGAGTGGGCACATGGGATACCCATTGCCTTAGAGCAGAGCCATTGAATAGATTCATTTCAGAAGCATTTCATCATGCACCATTCTACCTAGCGATAGGAATCGAAAACCGAATCCTGTTCAGAACCGGTTCCATGTGTTCCAATTCCATGGCACCGTTTGGCAGCTCGCTTAACAATTCTCTTAACTGTTCCAGGCAGCACCAAAGCCTAGCGCTGGGCAGCACGACTTACGTCACGTTATTTACGCAAACGGCATTCAGTAAGCAAGTATGTTGTGACCAGGCCTAAGTCAAGAAAAGCAAAAAACAAAAATGGCGTCGCATTGGGTAAAGCGATTGAAAGATTGGCTTCATTTTAAGGAGGAGAAAGATGGCAACAAGGTGCTTTGCAATCATTGCAAAGTGGCAATTACATCTGCGGGAGGAAGTACATCCAACATGCAGAAACCCCTGCACACACAACATGGCATACATTTTAACAAATGCTGTGTTTTTGATGCTTCTGGATAGAAGCTAAAGTTACAACCAGCATGGAAGGAAACTCTGTTAGTAAGTAGCTAGTTTTATATCACTGTGCATAATATGGTTCCTAGTAAATCATATAACATGTCTGGAAATAAACTAATTTCCTACCGCTCTTTGCGGTTATTAAACATGCTAAGAAGTTGCTCCAAAGTTCAGGGAGTGAGAGAAAGGTGACACTTGTTTATTTAAATCAGGGTGAAATGAGTTTATTTCCCGAAATTGTACAGTAATGCCTTTTCATTAAAAGGATGCCTTCTCCATTAGATTTAGATGACTGTGATGAGACGGGTAGCCCAGAGGCTTTCGGCTCCCGTTCACTGCCTTCTGTTTTTGCAGAGACAGACAGAAATAGAATGTCCCAGGCAAAGGTAGACGAATGTCACCGTGCACTTACCAAGTTCATTGTTTCACAGAATCGATAGGAGAATCGATAAGGAATTGAATCGTTTCTCAGAATCAATAAGGGAATCGGAATCGTGAAAATCTTATCAATTCCCAACCCTAAATCTACCTATACCATCTGCCATATTGATACCAAATGTTTAGCTTAGCTGCGGCGCTTCTCCTCTGACCAGAATGGATCATTATCATTTAAATTTGAGGACAGTTAGCCGCTCATGTTAACGTTGCCAAAGACATCAGCAGAGCAGTAGAAAATTATATTTAGGTTGCTCTAATCGTCTTTAATCATGTAAACAAAACTTTAAAAAAATGCAAACATTACATACGAGTAAACTGAAGCAGGTTATAGTTATAAAACAAAAATAAGAAAATAAACACACATTTCACATGCCTAACAACAGAACTATAATATGGAGTACAACTTTATAATCAGTAAGCTTTTTTAAAAAGGTTATGTATTTTCTGAAATAATTACCAAGAGTATGGACGCCCTTACAACCTCGCTTCTTTGGTCTTCCACTGGAAAAATTCTATTCAAAGGCTCTGGCCCAGAGGGATTAACCTGGAGTTATTACCTTCTATACCCACTGATCGATGTTAATTCTCCATTGTAACCAACAGTTACCTCACATATGACCTTTATCCTCACAACATCTCATAGTACAGCAATGATTTGACCACCAATGTCATCCAAGATTGTTACCTGCAACACAAACTTAGGTCCTTCTGCATTTGCAACAAGATGCTACATATCCTCTATAAGTCTGTTGTAGAGTGTGATCATTTCTCCCATCATCTGCTGAGGAAACAGCCTAAGATCAAACAACTAAAAAAGTTCAGCCAACTAATAAAGAAGGCCAGCTCTGTTCTAGAAAATCCTCCAGAACCTCAAGTTGTGATTTCATACAGAAGAATTCTTCATAAAGTGAAGAACATTATGGACAACAGAGATAATCTTCTTCAGAGGATTGTTAAACAGCAACAGAGCATCTTCAGAAAGAGGCTCCTCTAGAAGTGGTGCAAGACAGACCATTACAGAAGATCCTTCCTGCTAACAGCTATTAGCACCAACAAGAACTCATTGAAAAAGTGTCAATGAGTCACTGCAACATTTAATTTTCCTTTGGGATTAATAAAGTATCTTTTAATTGAATTTGAATTAAATTTTGAATCCAGCTGGCATTAGACATGTTGCTATGGAGATAAACATATACAGTGAGCTATTTTTTCTGCTTTTACATGTCATTAATAATTATAATTAGTATTATTTAGGGGAAGGAGATTGAAAAAAAAGGAGCAGTGGATTGTTTCTTGCTCTAAAGACAATATATTGTTTAAGCTTTATTTTGACCCATCAGAGCATACTTTAGCACAGAGCCTTTCCTTTATGCTAAGGTATCTATCAACGTCTAAACATCACAAAAGACTACAGTCACAGAAATGAACAAACCCTTCATCCAAATTCATGGAGTTTCACCCCAAAAAATAATTTAAACAGTGTAGATTTTATGTAAAAATAACAACTGTTATATATGTATTCATTTCTTCAGTGCACTAAAATTGTGAGATTAAACAAGAAGTTACCTGCACATCTCTGTACAAAGATTGGAGTAGCTACAGCAAACACCGCGACCGGCAGCTATCACTTCCTCTGGGGAGCTCAGCTTTTCTGAGCGGCCAAGATACCCGCTCACATCATATTCTGTGAACACATTCCCTTTATTTATTTAAAATGTAATATAAAATTAGGCTGCTGCCTGTAGAACAGGTAATTCTCAATGAAATGAAAGACACCTTACAGAATAATTTAATGGTAGGGTTGTTTATATGAAGCAAACTCACCAATGTTGTTGCACAGCCACACCCAGATGGCACGGAGTTGCTCCAGCTCATTTCTGGTTCCCTGTGTGATGCTTTGTACTATTGTCTTAACATCATACACACACTTTTGTTTCAGCTAAAAAACACAAATACACATTAGTTAAAAACTAAACAAGTTCTGTGGGATAAATTGGATTAACTTTTTACATCTACTTGCAACATTTAACTAATAGCCAGAGGTGAGGATAAAGAACTGGATATAAAGCAGACAGTACAGTATTTGCTCCTGACTGTAATAATACAGTAGGGTATCCTCACCTCTGCTCCTGCTTTGATGACACTGGAGTCCAGCCTATGGAAGACCTCGGAGCTTTTAAAGAGGTCCTTCCTGCGCTTTCTTTGACCTGGCAGAGCAGCTTTTAACTGTCCCCTCTGTCCCAGTTGGGATTTCTGCTGCAGGTGTCTCTGTTCATTTGGCTCCTTCCTCAGTGCACTTTTTTTCACAGCTGTGATGGACTTTGCTGCACTCTCTGAGGACAGCTGCCTCTTTGCTGCTGGGCGTTGATCCTCGCCGTCCACTCTCAGGTTCTCTGCTATGCTCTGCCTGGCAACCGCAGCATTCCGGGAGGCTTCTGCACTAACAGAGAGCTGGATAGCCACCGTATCTCCCGCATCAGGAGATTTTGTGCTCTCAGGGACTTGGTCTTTATATTCCACAGGTGCCTGCACCACTTTAACATGGTTCTGCTCAACTAATCTGGGATTCTCTTTAAGTTTAGAAAGTTCTGGGTCCTTTGCCAGTGATGATCCCTTCTGTGTCGCATTGTCTTGTGAGGAAAGCTTTAATGAGCAGGCAAATGGAAAGGAGAACTTCTGTAATGCAACTTCGGCTGACATTACACTGGATGCATGGTTTTCTGTGGAAAGAAAGAAGAGATGGAGTTTAAAAGAGGTGCTCATCCTTACAATTGTGTACCTCTCAAGCAAATCTTTTTTTTATGTACAAGACAGATCTGTGTATTGTAAGATTTCTTAAACTGAACATGTGGAAATTCATACTGTTCTGATGGACCTTTTTTGCATTGCAGAAACAATCCAAAAAGGGGTTAAAAATATCTATATTTTTTATTTGAGTAGGTAAATATGATGATCTGCAAATGGAATGAGCATTTTTTTTATCCTTAAATGAAAATTGATATTATACCCTTAAATAAGATACTTCAGTTTTTTCTTTCTTAATTTAAATGTAAATAGTCTTATTCCTTTGGCAAAATATCCCCGTTACCTGCTAAAATCAAGACAAAATGCATTTACTTTAAGAACAATTGATTTACTTACATTTATTTTTTTATTTTTTTGCAATTTGTACCTCCGTTAAAACTGGATTTGACTCACACTTCCTATACCGTACAGATAGGCGGCTGTAAGGGTAATTATCTGACTTTAAAGAACTGTAACTAGGTCAGCTGATACCATCAGGAGTCATATTCTTTCATATTATATAGCTGCAAATGAGTATCAGAAACCATAAATTGAAATTGGTGGTAGTGAAACATTACTGATCTCCATAATTTAAGACAAAGAGAGCTACAACAATACAGAACATCTGGGCAATAATTAAGTTCATCAGTATGAAGAGGTTTGTTTGCGGTTAAAATAAAATGTATGTAAAAACATTGTTCCTTAGCATCCTTTCACAAAGCTTTATAACCCTCATTCCTGCAGTTTGCAGATAGATCATTCTTACAGCACATTCCATTAAAGACAGTGATAAATCTTCAATTAGATAAAGTCTATTCATAACCATAAATGAAACCACAGATTAGAGCCATTAGTCAATGTCACGACATCAGCACAAGAAGTCTTGTGACACTTCCCATCGACCGATGAACGTGTTCATTGTGAGATATAAATAAGCTACATATGGGAACGCATTAATCTGCCAAAAAGCAACTTATTATATCAAAGAGAAAGAGACGCTGGCACAGTGACTGTCCTTCTACCATGACCTGGGCTTAAGGCCTGTTCTGGCTAGGATCTGCCCTGCTCAAGTGTCCCTCAGCAGATCATTAAGTGCTTCCACTGTAGCCTATGAACCACAGCTAACCTGACCTCCACATTTCTTGGAGTGCTATACAAAGTCCCAAACTGTGCATCAACCTTCATGTTGGGGTAAATTAAATGCCAGGGGCAAGAAAAATAAAACATATTTTAATCAGAGTAAAAACACCTTTTAAAGTTCAAACTTTATTAGTTTTACTGATGTCTTGCTCTGTCATCTTGGTAACTCTTTAAAGGCTGTATTCATACAGGAGGGCATGCTTTGTTGCTACATCTCTATGTTAGTGAGGCTTTTACTTACCCTTTCAGAGTGTAAACTGTGTGGTGGACGACTGCTGATCTGTCAGGGAAGGATGTTTCCACTGTCTCTTCTCAGTGGTCTCTCATTGTGGGGGGAGGCTTAAATACTGTGCAAGTGGCCTGCCAGGACAGGCCCCAGAATAACAAGCCTAAAAATACTACAAAGCAGTTAAGACCAGCCAATAGAACAAGCCCCGGCCGAGGAGAGTGCCAATGTGTGTATTTACAAGCATGAATGTGCACTTATGATGTACATTGTGATTTGTTGTTGGTATACTTTACATGAAATTGCTGCTCAGTACATCCACAACAGAGTTAGGACTTAAGTGACTGTGAAATAGTATCTATGTGGTTGTCACCGTCATACAAGGTGGTGAGTTAGCCTGTATTGGTAAGAACTCAGAGAGGTTTTTTTTTTCTATTCCTATTTAGAGGCATATAACCAACATATCAGTCAGTGGGAGGTGATTTATCTTTTCTGTTCACTTTGCCGACAAACAGAGTGATCTGCATCTCTCCCCTTCCTACATAATCAATTTAAAGTTAAAATTGCTGACATTGTTACAATGTTTGTAATGTTAACTCATATCAAAAACATTATTCATACAATGTAGCCGCTGTATCAACTACACTGATGTAGACAAATATTTGATATCATAATCAGTCTAATACTCCACCAACATTCTGTCCTCATTGACTGATTGCACATGAAAAGAAGCAATGAGTTTCTGTTTAATATTTCAAATTAACATCAATTTACAGCCAATCAGGTGAAATAGGATATAAGACAAATATAGAAGAGGAAAAAGAGAAGAGAAAGGAGAATCCCTAAGTGGCATAATAAACTGGTCAGAGGAGTTCCTTACACAAGAAAGCACAGAATAAGAGAGTTCCTACTTTGTGGCCCAGATGGTTGTCTATTTTCTTGAAAACTAACTTTCTGTTGCTACTTTTCCACATGGTCATCCCTCTCATCAAGCAGCTTGAGGTCTATCAGGAATTCTCTTTGACTTGAAAGGTCACTTAGACTTAAATGCTGTTGGTTTAAGTATAATATCTTGCATATCCAATAAGATCTGTACTTTTCATTAACAACCAGATTATATGAAGAAAACTGATTTTTAGGTGAATTATTAAGTTGCACTAGACATGTTGGAGGAATGTAAAAATAATGAGACCAAAGCAAAACTCTACAGGAACCTCAAATAAACAAAAGCACAGTTTCACATAGACTTTGCTTGTCAAGACCTTTTCATAATCTTGGCACCTTTAGGCTGGATTTTACTCCTTGTTGTTTTCTTCTGCTTTGCTCCGCCCTGCACTCAATATCTCTCGTCAGGTCCACCTGTTGGTGCCAGATTATTCTTCTAGCTTCTAGCAAAACTAACTCTAGCACTCCCTGTGTTTAGTTCTGCCTGTCCCTTGTTTCTTCCCACAGACTTTTTTTGGGTTTTTGGTTGTTCCTTTTCTTCTCTGTTTGCCTGTTCTCTGTTTCCAGGCTGTTACCTGGATTCCACCTGTTGTCGACCTTGGACCCGTCTTCTAACCACGGCTTGGATTCACCCTCCTGGTTCCTTCGGTTCCTCTGTGTGCTCTGGCTGCTGAAGCACGCTGCTCCTCTTCTCTCCTGGATCTCTGGTACCAGACTAGTAACAAGCAACAGAGTTCTGCTCCTCTGGACTACACTCCATCTTCTGGGCTCCTGCAGAGTTTCTAGTGTGCCCGCAGCAGCAGACAGGCAGCCGCACATTTATTCAATAAACAAGTTTGAATATATCACTGTCTCACCTGAATTCTGGGTCCTATGTTCTGAGCCTTCTAACAGCTTTGTCTGTAGTACTGTGTCTCTCTCCCTTTCAGGATCCATCTGTCTTTGGGATCTAGCAGCTTTCAAGGAAGGACTTGTCATGATTACCCGATTAGCCAAGACTTTGGACAATTCTTTGCAAGAGGCAGAGAAAAAATCCAAAAAAGCGTTTTTTAAATTTTCTTCATACAAGTCACAGTGGAAATGCCATCAATCTATGCTGGTTGTACCTATTTCTTGATTCAGCTCTGAAAATCTAAATTAGTAAGTTTGACTCATTCATATTAGATTTTTTTTCTGCACTATTAACTGCTACCAGACATTCAGATAACAATTCTTTCAAGCATGAAACATCCAGGTCATAAAGGCTTGGTATTGAAAACACTTAGAGCGCAGTTGGTGTGGTTTAAGAGGGAATTTTTGATACATCTATAAGTCTGACATGGGCTTTTTCATTATCCTTGGTAAAAGCTGTTAAATGAATAAATTAGATAAGATACAGTGTTCGGATATGACACATTGTTATTATTTTTTCCCAGCTGCATTTTAGACCTAATTTACAAAAGGGGCCAGTGTGGGGCCAATGGTTTTCATGGGGGGAGCAGAACAAATGAAACAGAGTAATGGTTTATAGTTTAGATATTAAGTAAGCCGAAGAGCCACTTCTGGCTCTGGAACTACCAGTTAGAAACCCCCGATCTAGCCAATGAAAACTTTTATCCTATCTCAGTGCAGTACAAGCTAAAAGTGCAAAAGCTTAATTTGTAAATTAATGTTTTAGAAAACCTGGCAGTAAAAATGCAGTTTGTTCAAGGGACCAATAAACTAGAGAGTCTGTACCAATGCGTGTCATTTGATATTGATTTATGTAGTATTACATGTTCAGTATAGGAGCCATAATAGGGGCTAGGACCAGTTCTACAGTGGCACTGGTCCCTGTTGGTCCCTGTCTACGACCATGGTGGTTCCTAATTAATAAATCAGATCAAAATATTTTAATGTCATACTATGGAGACTTCGACTGGGTTATTATCAAATAGTTGCAGGAATTTGGAATACAAAGTGCAACCTTTTGGTAGACACATTACTTTTCTCTTAAAATTCTATTCTATTCTTTCAGTTTATTTATACGTACAGCACCAGTTCAAAACACATATCATCTCAAGGCATTTTACAGAGACAACTCAAATTGTACAGACAGCAACAATCCCTCACACCGAGCATATATGCAGCAAGCGTGGAGAGGAAAAACTCTTTTAACAGAAAGAAATGCCCGGGAGGACTTCTGGTGATGATGCTGAAGCAATGGCAGCGCAAACATCCCACTTCCAACCGGCTGGATGATTATCCACTGTGAAGAACATTAGGTTTAAAAAACTGTTTTGAAATTTAACATGGAAGGGGCTAAGCAAAAAAAGACCAAAGGCAAACATAAGGAAGACAAGATTCCGGATTTGATAAAGGAGAGTCTGTTAGAAAAAAAAACTACAGCAACAAGGAAAGCTATAATTATAATGACAAGGAAAAAGAAGCTAAACCTGTCATGCAGGCCATCTACGAGATACATTCGCTCCTGTTGGATGTTGAAAGTGAAATGAGTGAATTTTGACTTTCCTTTCGTAACGACATGTAGAAGGAGTTGAACAGATTCAGGGGAGAAATCAACCACTAACTTGAAAGAGATACAAGTCAGCTTCAGACTGCTATGACAAGAGTGGGCTTGGCCGAACAGAGCATATAGGACATTAAACACTCAGACATTGCAACGAAGGAGGCTCTAACTCAGGCACCAGAGAACCAAGAGGCTTTGCAGATTTGGCTAAACGATCTAATCTGCCAGAGTTTGTGAAGAAGCTAATAAAATAAGAAGTCAGCCATGTAGTCAGGGAGATGGACCTCAGAATACAGTAGTGCCACCGGGGGCTCACCCCAAAGCCCCCTGAAGACGCACCACCTAGATCACATTTGATTTCCCTCTTAGAGTTCATAGCAAAAGAACAGGTGCCGTGTACAGCGTAGCGAAAGAAAGGAGTTCATTATTAAGTAAAATGGTCTTTTGATCAGGATTACTCTTTAAGATACTGATGAAAAGAAAGACGCATGTGGGGATACTGAGGAGTTTATAGCCAAAGGAAATTAGCTTCCAAATGCCTTATCCAGTCAAGTTGAAGAAGTTTTATGAAAATAGCACACAGATCTACCAAAAGGCGGCAGAGGCAGCCATAGACCCAAAGAACAGATTCCCTATGGAGAACATCAAGGAGATTGACCTTGCAGCGTTGAAGCAGTGGAGACTGGCACCGTGGGAGAGGGTAGGTGTAGATCACCACAGTCAGGAAGTGGAACAGGAACTGATAAGAGAGAAATTAGAGTTTTTGACGTACTCCACTCCAAGTAACTGCTGATGGCGAGTGATCTTTATATTTAAGAGTTGAATGTTACTGTTGTTTCTAATTAAATTTACCTAAATGGGAACTATATAGCCTATCTAAGAGGATAAAATCTTGGCCCCTGAACCATTAACTTTTGTTTACTAACAGAGAGATCAAGAGATCTTAAGAAATCCACTAAAGGCGGGCATACACTGCACGACATTTTCAATCGTTGTACTCAGCTACAGCTCAAACTGTATAACAAAACCACAGAGTTTAAAAGTTCACAGCTCACAATGTATGTTCTTACAGTGTACGGCCCGAGGCTCTGAGGTAATATAACCGCTCACACTGTACGTCCAAAAACCACATGCCAGACTTAGTGCCGAAAGATGGCACAGGTTGGATTCTTCAATCTGGTAGAAGAAGAAGTGGAATTCCTTTGTTTGCACATGCGCAGTGCGTGAGGTTAACATAAATTGGCTCGTAGTTGCTTGTAGTTCTGCATCAACAGCAGGATTTCCTAATGAACCCCCTTACGAGGGCCATCCTTGTTTGATTTTCTCCCAACCTAACAATTACTGATCAGGAGGTGGTCGTGAGAGGCCAATCTTCCCTCATTACCACCTATACAATACAGGATGCAGGAGGCCCAATGCTGCGGAAAATTGTCCCTAATCCAAAATATCCTTGCAGAACTGAAGAATCAGCCTGAAAAGAGAAAAAACTCATAAAGCACACACATGCACACTTATAATTTACTTCATTTGAATCTTTATAATAAAAAAAGAATGCTTTTAAAACTTGATAGAAATCAGAGATCAGAAAAAATGGTTGAAAAATTAAAACAGAAAATGTCATCCATATGAAGCATTACTGTATACTGTAATATAACTTGCGTTTTTTTTTGTTTTTTTTTAAATACTCATAATATAAAATAGAGCCCTTCTACAAGAAGATAAAGACATTT